ATGAGGGGGGGGGCGGCTAAGGGTGGGGGGGGGAATCGAGCATGGATGGGCGATGCATCGCCGATTGATCGGCGATAGACCCAGATAGCGAATCCAGACCCTCCTTGGAGGGGCGGGGCGATTGGGCCCCCATTGGCGATGAATTGGCGATAGGAGTCGAGACATCCCATCCCCTAATCGTCTTCGGGTCACAACTCGGCTCTCTGGCGGCCGTTCGGGAGGATCTGGTCAACACCCTGAAACGCCGTCAGCGAGGCGCAGCCGCTGGAAGGCATCCCGAGGCTGGAAAGCCCACGAGAACCGACGCAAACGCCCAGAGACCTCGAACCTTGAACCTTCGGCCACACGTAAGAATGACCTAGGCAAGATTGACCTTTGGTGCGCGACTTAATGGGGGACGCGGGGTGGCCAAACAAGGACGCGCAAGCCGCTGCCACCGCTTCGGAAGCTTCGCGTTCAGCGATCGGGGGACACCAGTGGGCCCGCACCAAAGGTCACTCCGGCGAAAGGTCGCCCTTCCGTCTAGTCGAAACCTGTCGCCCCCCTGAGTCTACCCCCTCGAGCGTTGCCCCTGAGCGCAACCGACCACTGACGTTCAGTCGGCCAAGGGCGCCCACACCGGCAGAGGCGCGGCAGCTGCGGCCCTCCGCAGCGGCGGGAGCTCTGGTGCCGCGGCGGACGCCATGGGACCGCCGGAGGCCAGAGAGGAGGGGGGGGGAGGTTAGGAGGCAACTGCTGGGAGGCCTTCGCCAGAAGTATGAAGGAGGATCATATCCCATGGGAAGCTACATCGCCGGACTAGGCCGTGGATTGACCGGGAGCAAGCCAGATTAAGCGGGGTTAAGCTGGATGAAGCAGGATAAAACTGGATTTCGGACCAGGGCGAAGTCTGAATTTGACCTCCCAGGAATTGCATCCGAAGGGAGGGGCCAGAGGCAGAAGAAAGAGGGACGAGGGCCAGGAGGGGGAAGGACGGGGAAGGAGAAGGAATCCTAAGATCCGGGCGCTGCAATTTTTTCACGCCGGGAGATTTCACCCGGTTTCGGGCCCCGGGGCCGTCACAAATCGATCCAGCTTGAAAAGTGGCGCAGGAAGATGGTAGAGCCCACGTCGTGATTCTGCGTGATGCTTCAATGTATCGCAACGTCGGATCTCAGTGAATGAGGATGGGGGAAGAGGGAGGAACGATAAGGAAGGAGGGGGTAAAGGGGCCAGGGGGGGAGGAGGGGTGTAGCCAGATCGTGAAGAAGGGGCGGAAGGTGGGGGGAGGAAGGTAGGCGTTAGGCGTCGTGAACTGCAATCATTATCGGCGAGGCTTGGAGAAAAGAGGACGAGGAGGAGGAGGAGAAGGACAAGAAGGAGGAGGAGGAGGAGGAGAAGGACAAGGAGGAGGAGGAGGAGGATGAGAAAGACAGGGAAGAGGAGGAGGAGGAGGAGGACGCCGATGAGGAGGATATGGAAAAGGAGGAGGAGGAGAAGGAGGAGGGGGAGGAGGAGGACGACGACGATGAGGACAAGGAGGAGGAGGAGGAGGACGAGGACGAAGACGGCAAGGATGAGGACAGAAAGGGAGAGGAGGACAGGGAGGTCGAGCAGGGCAGCTCCTAACATCGACCGCCTTCCCCGTCGGCATTCCTGAAGCTGTCGTTGGATCACACTGCTTGAAGTCACAGTCACCATAATCGGCCCAAGATCCTTGCATCGGTTGCCTGGTTCAGTTGGGCGTGAAGGCATTTCAGCTCGCCCTACCCAAAGAAGGCAGGTGGCATGAGAACTTCCCCCTAGCTTCCCATGGACGCCCCCCCCCGTGTCCCTTGGGGACCCATCTGATCCTCCGGGGAGCCATGTCGTTTGCCTTGAACTTGCGATTGGCTTTCACGTCTTAGTGCATGCTCTCTTGCGTTGGCTTTATGCTAGCTGACAGTTAACGTACATGCAATGTGTTGCTAGCGTGCTGTATCGCTTGCCAAGCGTGTGCTCGTCTTCCTGATGCCACATTGCGTGCTTGCCTTCAGCTTGCGACTGTCATACTCGTTACTGTACCGTGTGGCATATGTCCACAGTAAGCTGTCCTGATGATATGATTCGCAGTGTTTGCATCCAGCTAGTCTTTTTACTGCATATTCGGCTCGCATGTGCCTATGACTTGCCTCTGGCGTGCCTTTGACTTGGCTTGGGCTTGCTATCATATGTCGCTGAGCTTGTGTTGAACTTCCTTTCAGCCAACGTGTCGGTTGCACCGAGCTTGCTTACATGCCGTGTTGGCCGTGCCGCTCGTTTACTGTTAGTATGGATCCACTCGGACGTCAACATGCGTGTCAGCAAGCCTTTGGATTGCACACCTACTGCAGTGTACGCTGCCCTCAGATGGCGTGCGCATCGCCCATTGCCCTGGGGCATGTCTTCATCAGGGAGAAACTCCGAATTGCAATGATACCGCGATGACCATCGGATCGCTGCACACTCGTCGTCATGATTGCAAATCCGCTGGTTCTTCTCGATAGTCGCTGGGGAACGCCAGGTGCGATCGCGCCACATATGGCATCCGACCCTCCCGCCCATCCCTTCGGATTGATCTGAATCCTTTCTATCCACCGACATGGGATTCCTTGAGGCTCTTGATGCCAGAATGGCACTTGCAGGATTTGACCCTTCGGTTGATACGTAATCGGGCAAGGGAGCCTTGCACATAGAAAGAGGAAAGGGAGAACGAGACGGATGAGCAGGAGGCGGCGAAGGATGATGAGGATCAGGTAGGAGGAGGAGGAGGAGGAGGAGGAGGAGGAGCAGCAGCAGCAGCAGGAACAGCAACCGCAGCAGGAGCAGGAGACGTACGAGGAGCAGAAGGATCAGCGGGGGGCGGAGGAGGGGAAAAAGAGGCGGGGCGGCAAAGACGAGGAGAACAGCGCACACATACAATGTGGCCCGCGCTGGGGCGACGACGCGATCCTGAACGACGGAGGCAAGGCACCGATAGAGAGAGGGGGGGAGAGAGGGAGGGAGGGAGGAGGGAGGCACCGATAGAGAGAGGGGGAGAGAGAGGGAGGGAGGGAGGAGGGAGGGATGGATCGGCCAGCCCCTTGAGCCCCGACCCTCCCTCCAGGGGGGGGCAGAACGAGATGACTCCAGCCAGAAGGGTCGGGAGCTCCAGCGCTCTCCAGCCCAGGAGGTGGTGCTTCTCCACCCTCCCTCCTCCCTCCTCCCTGGAGGCCTCCGAGATGGGGCCGGAACAGATGGGGTCGGAGCATCGCGCAGCATCGACGATGCACGATGCATCGGCGACGTCGGCGTGGAGAACATCGGGCTCTCCATCGAGCCGCGTCGCCGATGCATCGGCGATGGAGCGCGATCCTCCGACCCCATCTACCTCGACCCCACCTGGGAGGCCTCGACTCCCTCCCTCCTCCCTCCACCCTCCTTCTTCTCCTGCCTCATGCCTCAGTCCTCCTTCCTCTCTCCTCCCCTCTCCGCCCTCCACGTTTCTTCCCTCGTCCATTCTCACCATTCCTCCTGGTCTCCTCCCACACCCTCCTTGCCTGCTCCCTTCTCCTCCTCTTTCTCCTCTCTCGCCTTCCTCCTCCTGGGGAAAACGAATCGGGCCCGCCAGCGCTCCCGGGGCGAACGGGCCTGAGCGTCTGCGAGATCGGGTACACTTCCTCCTCCTCTTCCTCCTCCTCCTCCTCCTCCTCCCCCTCCTCCTCGTCCTCCTCTTCCTCACCATCATCACCATCACCACCAACATCCACATCATCGCCATCACAATCATCATCACCAGCATCCTTCTCCTCCTCAACATCACCAACATATTCATCACCGTAATGCGATAAATCAGAAAAATCATACTCAGCATCATCGCATTAATAAGACTAGTAATAATAATACGAATAAAACAGTAGTACGAATACTAGTAAGAATGGTACTATTCGAAATTATGATACTGATCCATATGATGACAATTATAACAATACTTAGAACAATACAAGTAAGCATAATGATAGAGATACTCATCCGCATCCTCCTCCTCATCATCATCAGCATCATCATCATCATTATCATCATCATCTTCATCATCATCAGCATCATCATCAGCTATCGTCATCGTCATCGGCATCGTCGTCGTCATCGTCATCGTCATCGTCGTCGTCGTCGGCATCAGCATCGTCATTGTCATCATCATCATCATCATCATCATCATCATCATCATCATCATCATCATTATCATCATCGTCGTCGCCATCGTCATCGTCGTCGTCATCAGCATCATCGTCATCATCTTCATCATCATCATCACCACCATCATCATAATCCGCATCCTCCTCATGATCATCGTCATCCTTATCATCCTCATCATCCTGATCATCATCCTCATCATCATCATCAACCTTATTATCATCATAATCGAAAGCCTCATCATCAGCAGCATCAGTATCACCACCATCACCATCATCATCATCAGCATCATCATTAGCATGACCTTCATCTTCATATGCATCATCAAAACAGCAGCAGTATCAACGTCAGCATTAGCATCAGCAACGATATCAGCATCATCATCCGCATCGGTACCAACATCAACATCAACATTATCACCACCACCATCATCATGATCATCATCCTCATCATCATCATCACCGTCATCATGAGCAACACCATCTTCATCCTCATCCGGCTCCTCCTCATCATCAGCATAACTAACCATCATCATCATCATCATCATCATCATCAGCATCATCATCATCATCATCATCATCATCATCATCATCATCATCACCATCATCATCAAAGTTATCCTGGAGCACGTCTGGATCGGCTGTGTTGAAATGGCGGGGCGCGGCTTGGGCAAACGCAGCGGCATCGAAGGAAACGGAGAGCAGGGCGGACAAGAAGGGGGCGCGCGCTGGCCGCTCCAGTCCGTGCTTCGGGTCGCGGCACCTATGCGAGGCTCCAGGCCAGAGGCACGGGAGGGAGAGAGGCCGCCCCGTGCTGGCGAGAGGCCGCTCCTACGCGGGCGCCCACGCGGGCGCGCCGTTGAACTTCACCACGACCGCCGTCATATTGTCGGTGCCGAGCCCGTCCGTCTTCTGCGGGTCTGGGCTGAGGCACCTGTCGAGCAGCTCGACCCCCACCTGCGCCACGTCCGTGCCCTTCAGCAGGCGCTCGCGCACAAAATCGCAGGCCTCCTGGTTCGTCAGCACGTCCCATACGCCGTCGCATGCCAAGATCACGAACTCGTCCTCCGGCGTGCGCGTCTCTGTCAGCACGTCGGGGGTGGAGCAGATGATCTGCTGCTCCGGCGGCAGGTCGGACCTCTTCTTGTACTCCAGGTCGCCAATCGCTCTGCTGAGATTCAGGTTGCCGTTCACCCGGGCGCCTGGGGAAACCAAAAGGTACCGATACCGCTACTCCCCGGACCTCTCCCGGGGTGCGCTCTGACCAGAGCTACAAGGCGAATGCAGCGGTGGCGACGAGGGCCTCCCAGGAGGCCCAAAAATAGGAAAACGGGCGGAGGGTAGCGGCATGGGTATTTGTTTTTTCTCCTCTGGGCGCCCCCAGGGGTGTCCTCCAGGTAGCCCCCAGCGGCCTCGATGCGCGCCTTCTCGACCTCCGACGCCGGCTTGTGATCGAAGGAGAGCGCCACCGCCTGGCCCGCGCGACACAGCACGGCGCGGCTGTCCCCGGCGTTGGCGGCCACGATGTCGCCCTCGCGGACCAGGACGCAGATGGCGGTGCAGCCCACATTGTCTGCCACGAAGTTCTCGCCCTTCTCCGCCTGCTCGAACTTCTGCAGCCTGGTGTACTTCTCCTTCATCTCGTGCTGCTCCGCCTGCGACAGCTCTCCCCTCTGGTGCCTGGCCTGGGCGCTCGAGAGCTGCTTCTTCAGGTCGTCGATCGCACCGCCGGGCACCTTGCCGACGAGCTTCGACAGCTGCTTCGCGTTCGCCGGGTCGCGGAGGAGCTCGTCCATTTTGTGGAAGCAGCGCTTGAGGATGTCGTCGAAGTCGCTGGCCTCCAGCTTCGAACCTGAGGGGAAATGACGAAGATAGGTTACGGGGCGAAGAGCGGCATGAACTGAACTTGTTCGCCGTCGGGGACGCCTGTCCAAGGACGGCTGGGAAGTTTATACCCCTACGGTGCCACGCAAGGGGAATCAACTTCCCAGCCGCCCGGGGGGCAGGCGTCCCCAACGGCGGACACAAATTATGGTATACCGTTCTTCGCCCGCTGAATACGGGGGGGGGCAGGCTCAGGGGGGAACCTCGAGCTGGCACCAGCGACGCATCGCCGACAGGTCGGCGACTGGCCCCCGATACCAACACCGCACGCTCCAGTGCGGGACAAGCTGTCGGGCCCCTCCCGGCGATCAAGCGGCGATCGGGGGTCGATGCGTTCCCCCTTGAGCCTGTTCCCCCCCCCCCACCACACCCGCACTGCTCCTGGGAACCGCACTTGCGCTTCGCGTTCTTGTTCTTCCCGAACTTGGCCCTGCCGAGCTCCTGCGTCAGCTCCCGCAGCTCGTCCTTGAAGCGCGCCTTGCAGAAGCTGCTCACGGCCTTGCCGCCGTGCCCGTCGAAGACGCAGTAGAGCCCGACGCCGGCGAACTCCTCTGCCACGTCGGCGATGGCGATGTTCGGCGGCGCGCCCCAGTGGGCCAGGCAGAGGGGGGGCAGGCCTAGGAGGAGGAGGAGGAGGAGGAGGAGGAGGAGGAGGAGGAGGGAGAGGAAAGGAGGAGGAGGAGGAGGAGGAGGAGGAGGAGGAGGAGGAGGAGAGGAGGAGGAGGAGGAGGAGGAGCTTCTCAGAAGCCCTTCGGCCGTCCGAGAGGCCTCCTGCGGCCTGGGAAAAGGCCTGGCAGGGCTTCTTCGAGATGGTCGGAGGCCCTCGGAGCCTTCTGGGAAAGCCTGCCCCCTCTCACCTCCGGCCCCACGGCGCGCCGCCGAGCTGTGAGAGTCCTCCATGTCCATCCTCTCGGGTCCTCCTCCTCCTCCTCCTCCTTCCCCTGTCTCCTCCTCCGCCTCCCCTCCTCCTCCCCCTCCTCCACCTCCTCCTCCTCCTCCTCCTCCTCCTCCTCCTCCTTATATTCCCCCTCCTCCTCCTCCTCCTCCTCCTCCTCCTCCTCCTCCTCTCCCCTCCTCCCGGAGGAGACCTACTGAAGTGGGTCAATCCAAACTGGGGTCAGTCGGGCTTCGCTGTCTCCTGCAAAACCCTGCAGGCTCCTGCAGGATCCTGCGCGCTGGCCCAGGTCCATGCAACCCTGGCTCTGCAGGATCCTGCAAGAGCCAGCTCTCTGGCTGAACCCCGTTTGCATCGGCCCCCGTCTCAAGGCTTTCGATCCGTGTCAAAACTCGTATCTCCGGCGGCCGCCCGGGACGACCCGGGCACTCCCAACCCAGACATCCGGCTGCTCCAATTTTTTCGATGCGTGGGCCCTGGAGGTCTGAACCACTTCCCCAGGGCCGGCTTTTCGTCCTGCGCCGTTTCTCGACGGTCCTCAGACCTGGCGAGGACTTCTGGAGGCTGGAAGCGGCCAAAAACCCGCCGCTGCAATTTTGTTCGAAACGTTGGATCTCTGGGAAGGACGCCCTCGGCGCGGCGCAGCTGCTGGAATGCATCCCCACGATATAGGCCGCCGGGAGTCGACGAACTCGCCAGCCCCATCCTCGGGGGCGTCCAGAAAGGGGGGGGCGTCCAAGAGGGGGGGAGCGCAAATCATGGCCGGCGGCACCTGCGCGGCCCAAAGGGGGGGCCGGGGACGTGGTGAAATCAGAAGAGGCGCCATGCGATCTGGGGAGATATCGTGGCCCCCGCCATGATATCTCCCCCCCCCCTAGTCATCACCCCCCCCTTGGCCGCCCTCGACATCCTCCAGCCCTGCATCGCCGTGGCCGACCACCGCACCGCGTCGCTGGCGCCCGCCTCTCACGCGGGCGATGCTGCTGGGAGGTGGCCCAGCTGGGGGGTGAAGAAAGGGGCCCTCAGTCGGTGGCGAACGAGGGGGGGAGTGAGAAGGAAAAGGCTCTCTCAGAAGGCGACGGGGCTTCTCAGAAGCCCTCGGGCCTTCTGGGAAGTTTTCGGTGCCTTGGGGGGAGGCTCCAGAAACTTCTCAAAATGCCGGGGGATTTCCGAGCCTTCTGATAAGGCCTTCTCTTTCTCACTTCTCTCCCCTCGCTCGCCGCCGACACAAGGGACCTTTCAGGGGCTCTCAAGGGCCCCTTGAAGACCCAGGCCCTTTTCTCCACCCCCCCCGATTTGGGCCACCCCCCAATACCACCCGCCCCAACCTCGCAGGTCTTGTCCGTGACCGGTTTCGGCAGGAGCGCGCCCATGTCGCTGGCGCGCGGGGCCTGGCCGCGGGGGTGGGGGGGGGGGGCAGGTCCGGCGCGGGCTCCTGAAAGTAGCGGTCTCGGGGCGGCGTGGCTGGCCCCCCGCCCAAAGCCTGGAGTCAGAGCCCGGCTGTGGACAACTGGGGTTGGGCGGGGGGGGCGAGGGGGGGAGGGCGGAGGAGGAGCACAGCGTAGGGGGGGGAGGAGGAGGAGGAGGATAGGAGGAGGAGGAGGAAGAGGAGGAGGAGGAGGCGGAGAGGGAGGAGGAGGAGGAGAAGGAGGAGGAATAAGAGGAGGAGGAGGAGGAGGAGGAGGAGGAGGAAGAAGAGGAGGAGGAAGAAGAGGAGGAGGAGGAGGAGAGTGAGTGAGTGAGTGAGTGAGTGAGTGAGTGAGTGAGTGAGTGAGTGAGTGAGTGAGTGAGTGAGTGAGTGAGTGAGCGAGTGAGCGAGTGAGCGAGTGAGCGAGTGAGTGAGTGAGTGAGTGGGCGGGTGAAGGTTCAGCGGGTTCACCAGGCCAGCATGGTCGCGAAACCCCATGGATTCGCGCCGCGGGTCTACTGGGTGCATCGGAACCTCCCCGCGCTAGCCCAGCAGAGTTGCTTCCTTCAGCGCATCCTCGCACGCGCTGGATTCCAGCACAACAGCTGAAGAAAGGTGCCCCCTACACGCAAGATCTGCGGTGCACGGCTGAGTTTGTCTCACGAGCTGATCTCGGCTTGTACCTGAGACATGACGCTCGTGCCCCCCATAAGGTGAGCCGTAACAGGTGCTGCCGCTGCTTTTTCTCGCACGCGCGCCTCCCAAGGCTGTAGTTGATGGCGTCGGACTGTTGCTTTGCTGTCCACATCTCGTTGAGTAGCGTCAGAGCCTGCTGCCACTGCCCGCCCTCGTCGCGCTTGCCGCCCCCAGCGCTGACTCCGACTAGTTTAGGCTTCAGCGTCGCCCCCCAATTCTCGCAGAGTTGCGGCGGGTCTGCCCGCCGCTCGGCTTTCTCCCACGCCCTAGTCCCAATGCTGTAGATGATGACGTTGGGCTCTGCTTCATCTTCCGCCTATCGCTGTGTGGCGACAGGCCCTAGCAGCATGCTCTGTGCCTGATGACGCTGCACCCGCCCTTCACCTGGCGGGCTCCATCGTCGCCTCCAGCTGCCCGCCTCGAGGGTTGTAGCTGATGGCGCCAGGCTCGGCCTTCGCTTTCGGCGCCAACTTCTTGCCCTGATCCCAGCGTTGTAGCTGATGATATTGGGCTCGTCCTTCGCCGTTCGGTCTCCCTCTTCGCCTCCAGCTTCTGGCACCTCGTTGGCGGTGGCTGACGGCGTCGGGCTCAGCTTCGCCTGTTGCCCCCGCTTCGCGCCCTGATCCCAGCGCCCGCAACTGATGACGCCGGGTTCATCCTTCGCATGTCGGGTAATGCTGTGCCCAGCGCGGACCGGCTTGGTCTCCAGCTTTGCCTCGTGCTTCTCGCAAGAGGTAGCCGGAGCCCCTTGCCGCTGCTCGCAGTTTTTCCGCGCGCCGCGTTGCCCGCGCCGTGGCCGACGACATAGGGCCCAAACTTCGGTGGCTCGCAATGTCGAATCACCGCGTCGAAGTCCTCGGTGAATCGCGACAGTACCCGCTGCGGTCAGCGCTATCACCAGCTAGCTCGGGCTCCGGCTTCGCCTCCCGCAGCGCAGCGGCGGGAATGCCCACCGCTCGGTGTTCTCGCGCCCCCTGGCCCCAGCACAGCAGCTGATGGCGTCGGGGATGTGGCTGGCCAACTTGGGCCCCGGCTTCGCCTCCTGCCTCTTGCAGAGTTGAGCCAGGGCCTCCTGCCTCTGCCCGCCTTGTTCGCGCGCCCCGGTGCCCGCGCTGTGGCTGATGGCATTGGGTTCCAACTTCGGTGGGTCGCAACGTCTAACCGTAGCGTGGAACTCCACGGTGGGTAACGCTAGGGCTTGCTGCCGCTGCTGCCGCTGCTCCTCTGTCCCACGCGTCGTCGCCGCCCGGGGCCGAGCGCGCGCTCCCCGAGGCACTCGGGGCGCGCCCTGGGGGGCGCGTCGCGCGTCGCGCTCTCGGCGGCAAGGGGTGCGAAGAGAAAGCGAGGGCGAGAACGGAGGAGACGACGAGGCCGTCATCGCGCGCGCGTAACTCAGCGCGCGCAAGGTCTCAACGCTGCAGCTGAAGCCGCGCCCCCCCCCCCCCCCCCACCCCACCTTCTCAATGTCGGCTCGCATCAGCGCTGCAATTCTCAAGTTGGCCGACGCGCCCCGGGCCCCCTCCCCCGAAGGGAACTGCTGCGAGCGCGCGAGGAAAGGGGGGGGGGGGGGGGGGGAAGACCGTCGAAAACCACTTCGGACTGTTCAGGAACTACTTCGGCCAGATCGCAACCACTGGAGACGGACTGACCGCAACCTGAAGGGTTTCTATACAAATCTTCGTGGAGGACACCGGATTGCAACCGATCCTAGAGCTTCTGCAGAGCTTCTGCAGAGTATCTGCAACGCTTCGGCGGAGTTTCGGCTGGGCCTCCGAAGAGCTGCTGCAGAGCTTCTGCAGAGCTTCCGAAGAGATGATGAAGAGCTTCTGAAGAGCGTCTGAAGAGCTTTAACAGCAGAGCTTCTGAAGAGGTTATGCAAAGCTTCTGCAAGGCTCCTGAAGAGCTTCTGCAGAGCTTCTGCTGAGCTTGTGCAAAGCTTCTGAGGAGTACCTAAAGAGCTTCTGCAGAGCTTCTGAAGAGCTTCTGAAAAGCACCTGCTGAACGCTCAGCGAAGCCTCTGAGAGGCCTCAGCGAGGCCTTTCAGAAGCTTCTCTGCGGCCTCAAAGAGGCTTCTCTGAGAGGCTTCTCCGAGACCTCTGAGAGGCTTCTCTGAGAAGCTTCTCTGGGAGGCTTCTCGGATGGGGCTTCTCTGAGAGGCTTCTCTGAGAGGCTTCTCTGAGACCTCTGAGAGGCTTCTCTGAAAGGCTTCACTGAGAGGCTTCTCTGAGGTCTCTGAGAGGCCGAGGCCTCTGCGGGGAGTCAACGAGGCCTCTGAAAGGCTTCTTGAAGCCTCAGCGAGGCTTCTGAGAGGCTTCCAAGAGGCGTCTGAGAGGTTATGTTGAGAAGGCTTCAGAAGCGCTCTTATGACCTCTCTCTCTCTCTCTCTCTCTCTCTCTCTCTCTCTCTCTCTCTCTCTCTCTCTCTCTCTTAACCGAAGCCTTATTGAATCGACGCAGAAACATCGCAACCACTTCGGACCGATCGCAACTGTCTGCGGTCAGTCCGAGGTGGTCGACGATCGGTCCGAAGTGGTCGCGATCGATCTCCATCGCGCGGGGGGGGGGCGGAGGAGGGCGAGGAGGACTTGGGCGCGCGCCGCGGGGCGAGCGGGCCTCTCAGGCTCTCGTCGGGGAAGTCCAGGTAGCCGTCGGAGTCGGCAGCGACGTCGAAGTCCAGGCGGTCACTCTATAAGAAGAATCGCCGGTGATGGGCGCCGCGTTCGCTTCGAATCCGGAGACGTCGCAGCCGCGACGTCGGGCGCCGAGTGGGGCCGCGGGGGAAGGGGGGGCGCTCCGCAGACGCTGAGGCCGCTGCGACGCGGCAACCACTGGCGGAGTGGACTGACTCATCCATACCCATCTTCTTTAGCGTTCGCCGAAGAGCGGCGGCCTCGCCCCCTCG